GGCAGTAAACCCCCTCTCGCCTGCCTGTCTTCCACCTGGAGACCTGGCAGGTCTTGAAGTACTCCGGGTCCTCTCTCCAAGCCTGGCTCACGGCACCATCCATCTCATCCCTGTCGGGTTTTGTTCAAGAGCGAGTTATCACCTCCGAGGTTTGCACTGCTATTTCCTACAGCTTGCCCATATATGTCTATACACTTTTTCCCAAGGGTGGCAGTTGAAACTTCAGATTGCTACCTGCTTATCATGGCACTGGGGATTTGCATTGAATTACCTCTTCTTTGCATTGGTTTCTTCAGGAGGTAATTCTTGTTTAGGTGATGAGCCACGAATACGATCCCTTGCCAGCCCATAAAGATTCATGACTATCCCTGGACCTCCCCAATGCTTTTTTAGTACCATTATATATTTTACCAATCCAGTAGGTTAATATTTGGCATTTTGTTTTCTAAAGAAAGATACAAATAACTTCCAGGTGTTTTTCTGGCAGTTTGGAGTATTATGGCATTGGCTTCAGTCTAAACAGCCTTGCTTCTGGCTTTTTAAAGATAAAGCGGACATTATTTGGGGGGTTTGGGACATTGTAAGTAGTTGAATTGAGCGGAGCCTATGAAACAATTCATGTTAATCGTTAGCTCTCCAGACTGCTATGGGCAGTCATATTAAAATTTGATATTGGTGATTACATTTTTCAGAAAGATTGGATAATATTGGCTGATGTGGCTGCATTGATTTTTAATGATCTGTTTTTAGAAGACTAAAAAGAGATTTGGCTTTAATCTGCTGAAATCTCTTTTTGAGCGCCCTTTAGTTCTTCCTGATAACATTTTTTTAAACCCCCAAGACCTGACCTTGCAGGTTGCTCTGGATGTTTTTATTGAGGTATTAATGCTCCTTACCTGAAATGACTTTGAGGAGCTCAGCATCTTAGGGCTGTGCCTCTACAGTATAATGACCTACACAGTATCCTTTGCAAGCACCAAAAATAAGACTTGAGTCGCTTCCCATTCTGCCCCTACATAATAAAACAGTTTAACAGTACTCACCTCTGCGCATTGGCATCTGCTAGTAACCGAGAGCCTCTTTTAGGAGGCCTCCCCACACCCTTCCAGCCCCTCACAGTTAGAAATATTCATCCTTTTTCTCGAAGTCAAAGTATCTTTATATATTATAATTGCAATAATTGATTCTGCTTCTGCCTCAACCAGGAATAAATATCTCCCTCAACAGCTCTGTATAACCGTTGTGCCTGCAGCCCAGGCATTTATTGAGCATGCGGGAACCATTTATCGCCTATGCTTTGAACTAGGTTTGATTATCTCCTGATTACTTCTTAATTATATTGGCAGCCTATAGTCAAGTGGGAGGTGACTGCCAGTGGAGCAGAGAGGCAGGCCAGGGGCAAATGAAACAAACTGCCTGTTTTGGATCAGGGAAATAAAAGTCTCTTCTAATTTCTTCACCTGAAGTTTGGATATTTTGCTCAGTCACTGTATGTGGCTAATGGAATGGAACCTGCTCTTCCAGTAGCCTTTCTGCTTGATAGTAAAGGAAACGGGTAACTAAAATCCAGCATCTTGATCATTGATAGGCCTGTGCCTGCAAGTGTTCCTCTGTGGAGAAGAATGGCGTAGCTTATTGATTTTAAAACAGTGCGGCCATGAACCATGGAGGAGTGAATGCGTGTGCAGAGTAAATTCGTTCCTGTATTAGAAACCCTCCGGGAGTTCGGTGGTGCAGGATGCGCAAGTTAGCTGCTAATTAAGAAAGACCTGAAATGAATGTATATGGGGGCAGGGCTAGAGAGGTTGGCAGTTAGATGGTGAGGTTGTCTGCCCAAATTCCAGCAGAAAAGTCCTATTTTCTAATGGCACTTTGGGGGCACAAGTCCATTAAAATGGAGTTCAGCTCCAGAGTGAGACACTTCTGAAGACGTTGCCCAAGAAGAACAGCCCGTGCGGCAAATCAGCTCTGTGAGCTGCTGAACCAGTGTGTGGGGGAGGACCAGCAAGCAGCGGTACTGGCCGGGCAAAGTGTTGCGTTGGCCAGGGCTGACCTTACTGTGCTAGATCTACTCACTTCATTTTCAGGGGCATTCACTTTGCTGCTGCCAGGCCTCCAGGAGACTGCGGGATGTCGTTTGAGTAGTTGTTTGATCATTAGCCCCACTGGTAAAGCATGGAAGTTGTATTTCATCCTCATCTTCCTCGAACCTCCAGCTGCTTTTAATGGCATCAGCTCTGCTCTTGTTTCACTTTGCTTGAACACCTTTTTTCCTCTCCTGGTTCCTTCATTTCCTTTCTTGCTTCTCGTTCCCTCCCCACCAAAGCTAACATCCCATGGACCAGACTCCATCGCTTCTTGGTTTCCCTCAGTATCTTATCTCTGGGTCATCTCAGGCCTACTCTATTCCAGGTCTGCCTGCTTCCATCCAAATTAACATCCTAGCTTATCTCTGGTATCAACTTACAATGGACTAAATCTCAGCTCAAGGTAAACACAGCTATAACAGGGTCTTTTATGTCTCCTCCCTCTCCATGCCACCGAAGCCCCTGCCTCACCTGCTGCTTTATCCCTGTGTGCGGTACCACCAATTCTGCTTATTTTTCAGGCCTCAAACCGGGGCTTCCCTTTATGTCCTTGCAACCAGGCAGTATCTAAATCCTGCAGATTCTTTCTCATAGGATATAGCTTTTCCCATCCATCCACGCAGCTGACACTCCTGATTGAGCTCATCATCTTGCATCTCAGTTTCTGCAGCATTCTTCTCTCTGGATATGAAGAATGCAGGGTGGCCCCACTCGCATCCATTCAGAAAGCTGCTGCAAAAATCATTCCCCTAGCCCAATGGGGGCCAACTTTTTGGGCAGTTGTACCACAGATCAGCCCTGCACCCTCCTTGGGTGCCACTCTGATCCCCTTTCCCTGCCTGATCTGCTGCTCTGCTTTCTGCTCCCCACCCTGTCTGTCACTGTGCTCCCTGTTCCCTCCCTGATCTGCCACTTTGCACACACAGAAGCTGCCCTTGCTACTTATGGCACATGTGCCACATGTTGTCTACCCCTGCCTTAGCCCATCACCTTACCTTGCCAGGCCTCTCTTCATACTCCTTGGCTAGTTCCCCTTTCTCATCCCATCAAACCTAAGTAGGGTGTCTTCTGTCTCATGGCCCTCCACAGCCTTATAGCCACTCTGCTTCCCATATCTTATTTGCTTTCATAGAATCATAGTCATAGAAAATTAGAGTTGGAAGGGACCTCAGGAGGTCACATCCAGTCCAGCCCTCCTGCTTAAAGCAGGACCAGCCCCAGCTCCATCAGCCCAGCCAAGGCTTTGTCTAGCTGGGGCTTAAACACCTCCAAGGATGGAGATGCCACCACCTCTCTAGGGAGTTTGTTCCAGTGCTTTACTGCCCTCCTGGTGAGAGAGCTTTTCCTAATATCCAGTTTCAACTTCCCTTGCTGCCACTTGACCTTGGCATTGATCTGCCCATTGTATCAGCCACCATCACCTAGTCCCTTAATTTTTCATCAATAATGTTTTTGCCTCCTGTGCTGCCCCTTGCACCTAGGAGGAACATCCTGTAAATATCTGCAAAAAGATCAGTCCTTCAAAATACTTCTTAAAACTCTTCTTCATGATGATGCCTTCAAGCCAAGCCTTAGGAGGCTGGTGTGCTGAGACCAGTCTGTCGTACTGACTGACACCATCTCATCTTCTTCTACTTCCCTGTCTGTCTGCATGCATGCATGTGTTGTCTTCTGTCTTAGATCGTAAGCTCTGTGCTTGTACAGGGCCTGACATACGAGTGCAGCAGTAATTCAGATTATAAATAATGACAGATTTCTACAATCATGTCACAGCAGAAAACTCAAGAATAAGCAGACATCTTTAACTGTTTTCTTGCATTTTCTCTTGGCTCACTGGCTATGGTGAGCATGGTGTTATTATGGTGACCCAGCATTGGGTCACCTGATTAGCAGAGACCAAATCTGTATGACCATGTTAGCCATGTAAAACCTCAGTTTGGAGTAGGATGAAGGTAGGTCAGGCCACACTTGAAGGGTACAGCTTGCGACAGAATACCTACAATTACAGTCTAGATTGCTGAAACGAAGCCTCACCAGAGACCTATCCACCAGTTGGGGACCCAATTAACAAGACTAACTCTTGGTGTAAGACATTAGTCCGACTAACTTAGAGCAAGCTAACCTTCAGAAGCACGTACTCCGTACCTCCGAGATGGCTGCTTTAGACTGATAGGCAGAAAGTCTAAAAAAGACTGAGGCATGCCCCAGTGCTGGATATTAATGACAGTAATGGGAATCTGCTAATGAGAACAGTGAAGTGCACTTTAGAAGGTGGCCATTATAGCTGAAATGAGAACCAGCTCAGACTCATTTGCTAGTTAAGTAGATTGTTAATATCAATACTTTATGAAGAGTTTGTGTCTGCTGTACTGTGCAAGTACCAGGGGCCAGTTGTATCGTGTAATACAGAGGAACAAGGTTCTAGGACTGTGCGAACACCAGTGGGATTTCCATGTTCTTACCTTGCAAATTGGGCTAGAAATATGCTGCCAACTGCAGGTCTGATACAGTAGGGGAGTTGAAATTCAGGATCCTTTTGCTACCACCCTGCAGCTAATCTGCAATTGAGTTATTATTCTAAAACGTAAAATTCACCCATTATGCCATGTCACATGTGTACCAAAAGACTCCGCATCACATAGCATTTGCCTGCCTTCCAGCTAGCTGAGGGGATTTGGTCTGCATCCAGAGGAAGTACGAACAGCGAGATTTTGTATTGTGCATGATGGTCCCAGGGCCAGGACTGCTTTCAAACCTACTGAACTAAACAGAACTAAAGAGCTATGAGGTATTGATTGAGCCAGGCTGGCAACACAGATTGGTCCATCCCTTTGCATAAGCAGCAGTTCAGGCATCTTGTGTTGGGTGCTGTAATCTCCTAATGAACCCCCTCTCTCTCGCTTCTTTCTTCAGGCAAGCTTGGGATCTCGCAGTTGATATTTGCCTTTCCCAGTTACCAACGATTATAGAGGAAGGAACTGCATTCAGGGTAAGTGATTGAAGACACTGAAATACACTGTGTCCGATTTACGCATGTGACTCAGGCTCTGGCCCGGTGACTCTCCTTTCACCTTGAGTTCTTTCAGTCTTTCACTGACACATGAGGTTTATGAACACGACGGTATATGCAGATGTGGACATCTGTGCTTGTACAGGCACGTGCTGCAGGTGTGTGGTGTGTTATAGCCGGATATGCTGTAAAACTTGATCTAACCAAGATGTCCTCATTAAACAGAGGAAAGGGCTTCTGTCAAATGCCACTCAGCAAGGTTTTAAAAGTCAGTGAAGAAATTGTTGCCAGCAGAAACCTTGTAGGTCCTACACCTGCTTTCAAAAATGTCTGAAAACTCAGTGAGTTGTCTTCAAATAAAGATGAAGTAGATTTGTATTCATACATTTGGGGGTTTTCAGTGCATTTCCTTAACACTGGTAGCTTACTCACAGTGGTCATGTTAGCACGAGTCCTTTTATTTGTTGCAGCTCTTGGCTTATCTTGAGCTGTAGAGTGGTAGAATTTTTAATGTACTATTTGTCCTGAATTTCTTTAGATGGGATAGATTTTGCTTGCTATTTCTTTGACATCTTTTGGATGGAAAGCTTTAAATAATAGCTATTGGAAAGATTCAGTAGCCTGTTTGGTCATAATGTTCTGACAGAGTCTAGGTTGAACTCCATTAAAGTCACTTGAGGAAACTAAATACGGGCTTGCTATATAGAATGACTTCGGCTTCTGGCTTGGCTGTAAATACAGCAGTTTTCAAATTCAAGAAAATAATATACTCTGAGAGGAGGGAAAAACGGGCTCTCCCTGCAAAGATGACCATATTTGGTTGATCTTAACCCCAGTTTGTTTTGTTATTGGAGCCTCCCTTTCCTCCTCTTTTGGAAAAAGATGTAGGTTTTTCGTGCTCTTATTTTTAGTTACCTTTCCCCTTCCTTTACTGTGTCTGATCCAATATGCAAAATAGTTCTGCTTATTTTCCCTATGTACTCCTAGGTTCATAATTTGTAGGTGGTTGACTGAAACATTTATTTTTGATTAGTGATAAATTGATGTCACCTGTATTTAAAAGCAGCATCCAAGAAACTCGCCAGTACCCTGCATCTACTTTGGGTCTCCCAGCATGTTATTTTGGCATCAGTCTCCCTTGGTTGGAAACTCAGAGTGGGAACAGCGGTATCTCCTGTGTTGCATATAGAAGGACGATCTTACTGGCATCCTTTTGAATAGGCCTAAGAGGGACAAGGCTGGGTTCAAGAAGAGCAGAGAAGAGGAGACTGCTGGAGCTCAGAAAACAGAAAAAGGCCTCACTGCGAGTTGAAATATTGCAGACAGAGCGAGAAGGCCTAGCGGTCCATCTCTCATTTTCCAGAGCTAGGATCCTAATGTCAGTTTGTAGGAAAAGCCGTATAACTGCATAGCAAACTCCCTGTCTCGGTAGTTATAGCAGAATCTGATCTTGTTGCTGCAAATTCATCCAGATACATTATGGTGACTGGCTGAATGCCCGGTATAAATTTATGGGGGCAGAGTACTGCATCTGAGTTTGCTAGACTCCTTCTGTGATCGAGCCAGTTCTGAGGGAGTAACTCCAATAACAATATAGGCATTTCTGTGCGCTTTTAAACCAGTTATTCCCACACACACTGAATGACCATTAAAACTGAGACAAGCAAGGAAAAAAACAACTCTCCCATGTCCTGCCTATGGCAGGATGCTTGACTTTCTATACAGCTCGTTTTCCCAGATTCCAGAGCACAGTGTCAAAATCTGTATAGCCTAGCTCTACGATAGGTGGCTGCAGATGAGTGAGGGTCAGCCCAGTGCATGGAATAAAACTGGTATCCATCTCTGCCTCTTGCCAAACCAGTTGTGAGGTTTAAGGTGTGTGTGTGCATGTGGCAGGGAGTGGGTGGTTAAGGGGGATGTTTGTGGGATGGGTGCATGTTAGAACGGTTGCCAGGTCTTGGTCCTTCCACTGTACTTGGCAGCATGTTTGTCAGGATTGTCCCCGGGGGTCAGGTTTTGTGTGTCCAGCCTTGCATAAAAGACTGGGTCTAGTGACAGAGAAAAGGTGGGTCTGAGATTTACATGCCTCTGGGGTAAGAGTGTGGCCTTGAGTATATTCGGTGCCAGCCTCCTGCACGCAAGCAGAATACAACCAGGTTTAGAATAAAGCATCTGCATTTTGCATGAGTTGTTGAGCTGTGTTTTCTCAGGGGGTTGAGAGCTTGGCCCCCAGTTCTACCCGAATGACCAAATACAGTGCAAACACCTCTACCCTGAGAGTGGCTTTCATCCCCCCATTCTCTCTGTGGTCTGTATTTTAAAGGAGAAATGCATGCAATTACCCCTTTCCTGGCCTGCGTCAGATCTGCAGCTCAGCTCTGTCCGTGCACATGTATGTGTATGTGTGTATATGTATGTGTATCCCTGTGTCTGTCTGGGGTTTCTTCTGAGTACGAGCTGCCAGTCGGGCCATATTGTAGCAAGCAGCGTTCTGGTTCCTGGGGTGAGAAGAGAGAAATATCCAAGAAAGCGGCAGACTCGGCACTTCCAACCCAATCTGGATGACCAGAAGTTCAAGCGAGCCATCCTCTGGGATGCAGTTTGGGTCAAGTTTCATTTAAAATTACACATGCCTGAGGCTGTATAAGTTTGTGTGCCTCAGTGAGGAGAAGGGCCTTGCTGTGCCAAATAATTTATCTTTAAGAAGGCCCCCTGTACAGGGCAAAGCTCATCTTTTAGTTTGGGTGGGTGTGGAAGGGGCCTACCTCTACTCTCTGCAGCTTTGACTCGTGGTTGGACTGGGAAGACAGTGAAAGATCCTTGTATCCCTTGTTTTCTAATTGGTGTTTTGCCCTCCACCCTCTGGTTTATACCTGGCAGGAAGACTTGTATATCAGGCCAGGCTGGCGGCTGGCAGCCAGCAGTAATCCTGTAAGAAATGGTTGTTTAATGCAGGGCAGGGGGGAGAAGAGCTACAATTAGTCTTTCAAAACTGGACTGGCAGGGGCCGTAGTCAGCGTCTCGGAAGTAAGGTGTTTTAGGGAGAGCGAGAGGATTACTGAGCTGCCATTTGCTTTTTGGCCACTGTGGGTTTAGATTCCGGTCCAGCCCTGGGTACTCTCTTCTTCAGGGCTGTTTTACTTCAAAAGCATGTTATAAACCACAAGAACCTGACTTCTGAGTACTCACTGTGCTCTTTCCTGGTCTGAGCTGGAAAAGCATGCTTTCCTCCTTGAGCAGACTAGGAGCAGCCTTTGAGGGGGAAGCATGGGGTGGAGGGAGGGAGGTGATTGGCATACGGCAAAAGGAATTTCTTCCAAGGCAACTTAGAACTGGATTCCCTGCCATCTTGGCTGGCAAAGTGTCATTAAACCTTTAGTGTCAAGTCTGGGTTAAAGGCAATGCATTCTGGTGCCAGCGCTTTGCATCTGCCTGGCACCCAAAGGGCGATTACTAACTCCTAGAGAAATAATTGATTTTTTTTGTGCCAAAAGGAAGTCAGGTTGTGGAAGGTGCCAGGAAGCCCTTGCTTTTTAAGCCTCTGTAGGATTTTCTTTCTGGCACTCTGGAGAGTAAATGTCACTTCTGAGATTTTTCAGTTACTTGAAATAAGTATTCTTTAGTAGCCATCGCACGCTCTTGCCCTGTCAGCTCACAATAGGCCTGTCGGGATACACCTGAAGAGTTGTTTGACTGTGTATGATGGAGAGCCTGCTCTATGTGTCCTCCCGTAGGAAGGGGGTGGTGTAGAACGACGACGTGAGTAGGAGTTTGGGGCTAGTTAATACACTTGCTGCTTTGCCACTTAAAATGCATAACTCTGAACCCTGCTGGTGAAGCCATGAGCATAAATGTAATGTCTTATTTGCCTCCTGTTGCTTGTAGTTTGTTCATAGATGAGCTCCGCAATCTGAAGCCAGCTATGCTCACCTCATTCTGATGTGCCCCAAGAACGGCACCTCTCAGTGAATAAACCTGCTAGTTCGACTGCTGATGTGCAGGGCACTGGGAGAGGTCCCCCTGTTCGCAGCACTGCCACAACCTCTTCTGCTGCCCGAGGACTTCAGTACTTTACCTGCCCCTTGTCCCATTGTCCTTTAAACCATTGCTCTATGTCAAGGTTACCGGAGGCCATCACAGTTCTGACACGCTTTCCAAAAGGGCAGTGTAGTTGTTCGGCATACCTGTCAAAGCAACATGGAACGGTTGTTCCAGTAGCCCTGCAGTCTCTCTTGCTGCATTTCAATCAAAAAACACTTTGCTTTATTTTTAAGCCGGTTTATGAATATCTCTGACTTAGAAAAAAACTCCCCCCACATATTTAGATATTTCTGCTCTGCAGAAATTATCCACCGGATAGGATTTATCTCCACATTTCTTCATTCCGGCTGCTCCTGGGCACATTCATCTCTCAAACTCTGGGCAGAGTTCAAGGCATTCAGGACCTCTTGACTTTAGAGATTCATGTAACTGGGAAATGTAGGTTCAGGTACTTTAAATATAGGCTTTTCAATAGTGCTTATCACTGTATTATCTAAATGCATGAGTAAGGGCTGGTGAGTGATAACTGAAAGCAATTATACTTTTTTCTCCAAGCAATGCGACTTCTTCTGGGTTCTGCTGTGCAAGTCTGTTTTAAGCTTATTTTCCTACATTGTTAGGATCTTATCAGCTGAAGTGATGGATTCATTAGAAGTAGTTTCTATTCTAGATTTCTTTTATTGGGTAGATGAAACCCTGGGATACCACAATGATGGGTAGGTAGATGAAAACCTCCCCTGTCATATTCTCTCTCTCACTCAAGTGCTCGCACACACACAGAGGGGAAGCCTACATGCAACCCAAAAATGCACTGCTGAATCACCTGCCCTTTTCCAGGAGATGCTTAAAGCAGCCCAGGGAGGAAGAAAGATGGGCACAGGCACTTTTTATTCTTGCTGGATTATTTTCACCTTGGACTTGGCAAAGGCAGAACCATGTATTACATAAGTGAAACCAACTCTGCAAGGAAGATAAATTAACTGCTGCTCTGTCTATTCTGCCCATGGAAAATGTGCTAACAACATTTCCCCAAAATCTGTTTTGCACAAGATATATTCTTCCCTTCCCCCAGCTGGTTTTCAAGCATATAACTCAGGGGAGGATGGCATATTTCCTGTTCTCTCTTGAGGTGTGAGAGAGCAGGCTTGGAAAAGAATCCTGCTGGGAACAGCACGCGGTTCTGGTGGTTAACTGATGCCAAAAACCATGGTCTCGCTTGGTCGGGGGGTAAACTCACTGCAGTATTCTTGCCCCAACAGCACAGCCCGTTCTTTGCTGAGCAGCTGACGGCGTTCCAGGTGTGGCTGACAATGGGCGTGGAGAATCGCAACCCTCCCGAACAGCTCCCAATCGTTTTGCAGGTGAGGCGCCTTGGCACGGGGCAGGCTGTGAGCTAAGCTGGCTGGCGTGGCTGCGACTTGTGGGCACTCAGCCATGAGCTGACTCCGTGTGTGTGTTTTTGCGCATGTCTTTTCCCTGCCTGCTGGGTGCCGTGCTCTTGGCCAGATGGTGTTTGGGTAAATAAATTACATGGACTCATTGAAAACTAATTGGAGTTGATTGTGTATTTGTTAGACCTCTGCTGATAAAGACACAATGCTCTCCTCTCCCCAGCACTACCCCTTCAGTTAAGCATCAGTTCAGGCTGTGGCATGCTAGACAGTTAGCAGCATCAGGCATCTCGCCCCCTCCAATTTAACTGTGAATTGGCAAAGCTATTTCACAGAATGGGGCACTTGTTTTGTTGCTTCCTCTTCTATCTGCCCAACTTTCCTGCCAGTTCTGTGGGGCTGGGACTTTGTTATCTCTCTGCATTTGGAAAGCAGGCACAACCATGAGCAAGGTAATAAGTGAACGGCTCCTGGATCTGCTCCTTGTCAGGGAAGGCCTGGACTGGTAGAGCAATAGAAGTGTTCCCCTGCTGCTGGGACCACATGGGCACAAACCTGGCTGGAAGGAATGCAGAGCAGTGCGTCGCCCTGCTTGAAGCAGCCTGGTTTGCTATCTGAAAAAAGAACAGTTAATTTGGGTGAGCCCAGGACCTCCGGAGCTCTCTTTCATGGCAAGGCAGTGGATAAATATGACAGCAGCCCACCTGTGCCCCAAAGGCATGTTGGGCGCTGAGAAGTGTAAACCCTTCCCAAGGGACCTTTGGCTGGTGGTATCTGAGAGAGAGCCCTCCCACTTGAAGGATTACGGTTCCATTCTTCTACCAGTACAAGGGCATCTGTTTTCCTTTCCCATAATGAAAAAGGATTCCTCTTCCTTCTTGTAGTCACTAGCCTGCCTTGCGACTTGACAGCGTCATCAATCTTCACAAGACCAAATCTTAATTTCTCTGGGCCTCCGAAGTCTGCAAGATCAGTAGGATAAATAGATGAGCAGTTTATCTCTGTCACTGCCATCGGAGAAGGCAGGTTTTCCCTTTGGCGCCAAGTCCACTGCCTCACGCTGAATTAGCCGGCACCAGAAGGCTCTGCCAGGAATTAACCTTGCAGCAGCATTGCGCTCTCATCTAGGTCAGGAATCTGTGTCCATCTTCACAGGGTGGGAGTGGGCAGGATCAACGTGGCCAGTGTCCGCATGATGCAGAAGCGCGAGGGTTAATGTGCCAGCAGAATGCTTTATAAATGGGAATTGATATTTGAGTAGGAGTGGGTCAGGGAGCAAGAACGATGCATTCCTCAACTCTCTTCGAGTGCCTTGTTGCCCACAGCTTATGGGCCTCTCAGCTGCACCCTCCTGCCTAAGAGCAGCATGTTGCTGGTACTTTTGCTTTAGATGCATCCCTGGAGGGAGAAGGGCATTTGTGTGCCAGGGGCATGGTGCCAGCTATGCTGAGGACAGCGAAGCAGCCCTTTTGTAAATGGCCTTTTATTGACTTCAGAAAAATGCAGTCCATTTAGAAGCCCTGCTCTCTCGGGAAAGGTCTGACAAAGGAGACTCCTGGTGCTGAGACAGGAGAGAGGAGGATTGTGTGAAAGAGAGAAGTTAGCATGTTCAGTCTGAGAGTCTGAAACAAACCTGAACCTTGGGCCTTGCTGGGGCATCCAGGCAGTGTCCAGCCCTTGCAGCCAGTAATAACACTTCTTCGCTGGGGCAGAATGGAGAGAGGCTTTGTTTCAGTCGGTGCTTCCCTGTCAGAATGGTCCCCAGAACCCATGTGAAGATTCAAGCTCATACCTGATTTCTTTCAGGGCTATGTGATGGCTGTAACATGAAGCAAGCACTGAGAAGCTTTGCCACAGGGTTTCTAAATGCACGTACTCTTTACTTAAAATGTGAGACAGGAGAGGGAATGGGTCTCAGCAGAGGAATAAACCCTACACCCATTGCCAGCACTCGGTTACCTCTCCTCCAGAGCAGTCTTGGGGCTTAAGTCAGGTTCCTCTAAGTGTCTAGGATCCTTCATGGCTTCTTTCCTTTCGTGGAGCCTTTTCCCATCTGTTGTAGGTCTGTTTGCAGCCTATTCGTCCCTTCTAGCATGCCCACATCCCCCCACATCTTAGTGTCATCAGCAAATTTGAACAG